CTAATTAGTAATTACTAATTACTTAATTAAAAAATAAGAAAGAGTAACTTTTAACTTGAGTCTAATAGATCAAATACTGAAATGCTATTAGGATAGTCTAGTACACTGTTAATCTGTTATGCAACTATGCTAAATTGACAATTGCTCGATCATATAGTCATATAGGCAATCACTCATGTAGTCATATCTAATTAAGTAATTTGTATTTATTTACTAATCTACTAGTCAATTTGGATGTGCTCATTGAGGTGTGTTTAATGCTTGCTTTCACTTTGGCTAATTGAATGCATGATCTAATTAATTAATAAACATGTGCGCATAATAATTATGTTTCAAATAAAAGATAAAACAAAACACATATGTGCATAATTAGATTTTATTTATAATACCTTTTAACTTGGTTTTAATCTTTTTTTTAATAGTTAGTGGTTTGTAAACGGTTCGATTTATAAGCAATTCGGTTCATAAACGGTTCGGTTTATAATCAGTTCGGTTTATAAACAGTTCGGTGCAAATGGGTTGCGGTTTGTTAACGGTTCGGTGTAAACGGTTTTTATGCCAGTTCAAACGGTTTCGGGTTAGAAACGGTTCGATTCATTTTCGGTTTCGTTTCCTTTCAGTTCGATTTAGATTTGGTTCGGTTCTTAAACGGTTTAACGTTACTCGAATCGGTTCGATTTTGGATTTACTAAAATGCGATTCGGGTAGGTTTTCGGTTTCAAACAGATGATTTTTAATCGGTTCGATTCTCATTCGAATCGCTTTAAACTAGTTCGAATTCACCTGTTCGATTCGGTTTTTGATAGTGCTATTGAGAAATATTCCATTTTGATGTTGGTCCTATGTTTTGGAATGTGGTGTGAAAATTCGGTACATCGTACTTGTATTTATTAATATGGTGCGTAAGGTACTACGTATTTGGGAAATAGCATGGCAATTTTCGCAAGTTAACAAGCTGATTTATGCAATAACGTGGGGCCACTAGTTGTGTACGTAGCATTGTACTCTGCATAACGGTACCTCTTGCATTAAACTTAAACAACATTATCTACCTAAAAATATTTAGATCAAACTAATTACTAATTAGTCCATTCAAAATTCATTTTCTTTCTTTTTGTACATGGCTAATTACTACCCGGGTGCTTTGCTAGTTAATTACTATTTGAATAGCTAGTGCCAAACAAAGCCTAATTTTTTTTTTCTTGATTGCTCTCGTATGATAATAAAATATGATGTTTATATCCTCCCTTCATTTTTAAAGTGCAGTGCCTCATTGTGAATCCTTTTTATTATTCACATAAGCCTCCTCGCCAATGTTAGTGCCTTATAGATAAGAAAAAAATTTAGTCAAGTTGATTACTTGTTGGAATTGTTCCTATGTATAATTTCCTTTCAAGAGGTATAACTTTTTATATTTTATACTTATTTATAATTGAAGATATTATTGATCAAAATTTTATATTGCCATAAGTGATGAGTCAAAATGGAATGATATAAAAAATAAAGGGAGTCAAGTATATCTCAAGGATATATCTTAGAAAAATCGTAGAAGCTAAGTCTCTATCACAATTAAATCATGCCATATATTTTGATCTCTTAAAACAAAAAAAAAATATGGATGAGTCAAAGTACAACGAGATAATACAAAAACACAAAAAAAAAAATTTTATCAATATTTATATACGGAGTAATAATAATAAAAATGTCGTTTTACCAACTTTCTACACGAACATCCAAATTATTTTAAATATCAATATATGTGCATCCTCTATCCCACTTTTCTTTAATATATAAAAGGGATAATTTCAAACAATTCCCTTTCTTAAAAATAAATAAGACAATTTCATAACTTCCAACACCGTTTTCCCTTACAATTACATAATATATATCCTTTTGTAAGCATAATCGCATAATCCTTAATACTTTATTTAAGTAAATCTTAATTGAAAATTGCTTGATAATTAGAAGGTGAATTTGAGATACCATTTCTCACGAGAAGATTAATCAATATAATGAGATGTCCTTTATTCATATAGTAGCTTATTTTGAGATCATTACATAAAACATAGGCAATTCAAAGATACATAGGCTAGGTGACTACATAAGTCATTAGGTAGTGGATTTAGCAACCAACAAATTGGTAATTGACTTGAAGGTGGCCTTGAGCAATGCCTTGACCGTTGGTGTCAATTTGTTTAAAGACATTAACATCAAGGTCTAACCCTCCATTGCTGCATTGATCAACTATTCTCACCGTTACTTGGGCGTTCGTTGCCATGTTCGTTACCTGCATCAAAACAACACCCATGAGTTTCACAATACCCATAAGGTATATGATGAGATAAGTTAATGAAATTTCACATAATATAATATTTGAGACTAAGTTTCACATCTACAAGATAAAATAGGATGACCAATATAGATACATAAATATGGATTACTAATCAACATCAATTCAATTAAAATATGAAACCTACTAGCTAAGATTTATACTTGGTCAAACTTACTTGCAAGTTGCAACTAATGTGAGCTTGATTTAACACAAACAAAGGTATTACTTATGGATTTAAGATATATTAGGTACAAGTATTTAAGATACAACTAATATAGATTTTGATGTATAGGTGTTATATAATAATCAACTTAAATAGTTTATGGCCATAATCTCATAGACTGACGAGTCATCATTTGAATTTGACATAAAATACCACTACGTATAATATGTCAATGCTTTTATGCTAATGCACGAAATATATTATTTGCGGAAATTTAACAGCAAAAGCGTAGTTGTATAATACTTACCCTGAGACACTTGCCACAAGAAGCTTGACCAGTAGGACCAGCAGGGCCACAAAAGGCAGTCCAACCATATTGTTGGCGCCATGACAAAGGCTGGTTAGCATCCCATGTTGCACAATACACACTCGCTCTGTTATAATCCCACCCTATATTTTGTGGGTTATAGTTATTGTACGTTGCCCTCACATTACTCGCACTCTGCGCGGCCGTGCCGACTGCCAGTGCAAGGCACACCGCAACCATCACCATAAAACTCTTGCTCTCCATTTTTCTCAACTTTTTTTTTAAAAGAAACTTCAAGATTAAATAATTTGTTTGATGATTTTGCTAGAAAATATAGCCTATTTATAGAAATTAATATGGGTGTAAGATTTACTTGGATGCCCTCAGAGTTGGAAATAATTGTGGTTGTGTTTGAAAATTATACCTTAACTTCTAGTACATTTAATGTTATTGCCGTAACGGTCGTGTAAATGTATTATTAGCAGCCTTTATATACTTTGGATGGACAAACTTATAATAAATCTTGGTCAAAATTGCATCACTATTTGTACCATCTTTTCTTTCTATATTGCCTAACTAAAAGAGGCTACCGTGTTATATGGATAATAAACGTAATCCAAATACCTAATAGCTTCTTAATTTAATTTTTGAAACAAATCTGTAAAAATTAAAAAATAGTGGCCATATGAGTTCCACCTATTTATAAGGTGCTCCCTCTGTTCTTGATTGTTTATAACACTTGAAAATTAACGAATAAAGAGTAATGAACAAAAGAGAACGGAAGGAGTATGAAGTTACCAGTTTACCACACCCTTTAGAATCATTGAGATGTTTGATTTTCTTACTAATTATATATTTCTTTCACTCTTTTTTACATGACCCGCTTTTACTTCGTATACTTCATATGTTATTAATAGTCAAAGATCATCAAAGTTGAGGTGCTTGAGGATGGAAAAAAAATTAATTGGAATTGAGAGGATTGCATTTTGGTACTATGCTTAGTGGAGTTAGTGCTATCCAAAGTCCTAGTTTGTTAAAACTCGACTTCGCTCTGTTTGTTGAAATAAAACAATTATTGATTCAAGCAAGATCAGATTAGATAAAAACTCAACAAATAAACTTTGACTAAATTAAAATTTTCAAGTCCTCGTCAATATAAACTAAGTTTTAAGTCAAAAAAGATGGGCTAGCTCATCAAATTGTTATTGGCTGGCTAGGTCATGGCCCCAATTTGGGAAATTTTCCATTCCGAATTTCTCCATAAATATGATGGCTGAAATAGCTATCCAAGATTCCAAGAACGTGTGAAGTATTCCCTTCGTATTTATATGTTTATTCCATCTAATGTTTTTTTTATTCCCTTCATATTTATAATTTATATGTTTATTCCGTTTAATGTATTTTTAATCGATAAAATACGAAAAGGGCCTCCCACCCTATCATAGGAATGGGACGATGAGGATTTGAACCCCCACCATTTGGGAGTGAGATGGAAGGAATAATCATCCCTGCATCTCCTAGTTCTCCCTCTGTTTATTCCATATGCAAAATGCACTATGAGTATAATAAGAATTGAACCAAAATAATACAAGTAAATAAGTGTATTTTTGTCCTTTCCCCCTTTATGAATGTATGCAAGTGGAATTAATGTGAGGATATGACATTATAAGGAAATGGGACAATTGTAGGACATCCCAAAATGAACTACGATTTGGGTTGTGTTCAAATTGGTATATCTTGTTTAAGATTAAAATGGTATAAATAAGTTGATATTCCCTCTACTTTAAAATACTTGAAATTGCTGATCAATACATTGCCAATTAAACATACTTCATCCAATATGTATCAATAAAAGATAATTAATCCAATTAATATACTTCGTATTACGAAGTTAATAATTTCAATTTTTATATATTAGTAGAAAAAATGTAATTAACTTCGTATTAAATTTTTATATATTAGTAGAAAAAATGTAATCATTGGTAGAGGTGATTATTTGGCCTATACCAAACATTATCAAATCCAGCGGGTTATATCCTACACCAATATATATATATATATATATATATATATATATATATATATATGAATGATGACATATGATCCATTGGTAGGATTATATGAGACCACATCCCTTATATAAGAAACCTATTATTTGTGTTGGATCAATTGCATCCAATGACTACAATTTATCCCAATCACACATAATTTAAAAAACAATTTTCTAGCGTTTTCTCTCTCCTCCTTTATTCGACACTCCATTTTCTCTCTCCTCCTTCAATTTCTCTGCTCCCTTTCAACTGCTATTTGCTTTGATTCTTCATCAATTCTTCTTCAAACTTCATTGATTCTTTGTCAAGGTGATTTTCGTTGATTTTAGTTTGATTTTCGTTGATTTAAGTTTTATTTTCGTTATCTTACATATTTTCGTTATTTCGAAAAACCTAGATATCATGCCTATTTCATCTTGACGCGGCTGAAAATTGGACAATCGATTCGATAGAGAAGATTCGGATGTGGCGGTAGATTTGGAGTTTGTGGCATTGCACGAAATTGGATCTTTGTCAGAATCTGAGACTTTTCATCTCAACCCTTAAATTGGAGGGAAGGATTGCAAATACCAGCCACCTTATTGGTAATTTCAATTATACAATTTTATCAATGAACCTTTTATTATTACTATTTGCTGAATGAAGTTATTTTTTGGCAAATTGATTATCATATGTATATATGTCATGTAGATTGAATTGAGTGATTTTTTCATTCTAGCTATACCTTGTATATGTATTTAGTATGTATCACATTCATTGATAGCAGATGGTTTATACTGACTTGGACATATAATATGGACTATTGATTAGTTTTGTTTTAGCAATCTAGTTGTTTGAATGGTTTTGAGGCATGACTGTTCTTAATTGTGGCATGTTTTGGTCTTAGTAGGCTGGAATTTGCTATAAGTTTTTAACGTAAAAGGCTTAAACTATTTTTGTGATGATAATGGCTAGATTAAAAACAAAATGAAGTTTTTAGGTTGGCCTGAAAAAAAAAACTGGCCTTGTGTTATTAGCTTGGATCTTCAAAACTGTATGTAGAAGATTCAATTTGTACAATAATAGAGAATTATTGTGTTCTTAATGTTTATAATTGACATGATCCTGTTTTAGGGCCTATTAGTTCTTCAAATAAGTGAAATAGAATGCTTGCTTCTACCAATCTATAGAATTACTTGGAATGAAGATTATTGTTGTAGACAAATTGTTTTCCTTTTATAATTTGTTTTGTTGTTTCTTGTTGTGGTTACAGGTTTGTAAAATCAAAACTTGCTTCTTGCTTGTGCTGCATCTACTGTATGTGTTAATGCTTAGTTGTTGCTTGATGGAGAGTCCTATTTTATTGTACTGCTGCTATAAATGTTGTTTATTTGGGATGGCTTGTTTTCTTAGCATGTATTTGTTCTGGCTGAGTGTGGTGGTCTTGTTTGTTGTTGTTGCTTTTTGTTAAATTGAGTTATTATAGAACAACATAAGTAGAACAAGCTTTGCAGAGTAGTTAGCATAAATGTGAGCAAAATTGACTGTTGATGCTCATTTTACCAATGACCTCAGAGCAGCCTCAACATCAACAAGTGGCTGACAAGCATAAAGTTTTATTCTCCCTTCCTTAGAACAAATACTTTGTTGTCAAGAGTTTCCTAAAATAGGTAGTTTCTAGGGGTGCTTCTAGTTGATACACACTCTCCCAAACTCTTCTTCTGCCATCCAAAACAGCTCTCTAAACACCTCGCTCTTCAGATATCAAAGGGATCATAAACCGTTTTCCATCTCTATAGTATACACAACAAAATGACCTTTTTGTTCATTTGAACCATTCAATGCTCATTTGTCAAATGAGCAAATAATTGTTTCCTCATTTGAACAATTCAATGCTCATGTGTCAAATGAGCAAATAATTGTTTGCTCATTTGTCAAATGAGCAAACAATTCATTGTTCAAATGAGTAAAGAAATATTTTATCAAGTGAGCAAATAATTGATTGCTCATTTCAAAAATGAGCAAAGAAATGCTTGTTGATTTAATGAATGATTAAAGAAATGTTTGCTCATTTGACAAATGAGCAACTAACAATTTGCTCATTTGACAAAGGAGCAACTAAGTTTTTGCTCATTTGTTAATTAATCAACTAAGTATTTGCTCATTTGACAAATGAGCAACTAATTATTTGTTCATTTGACAAATGAACAAATAACTATTTGCTTATTTGCTAAATGAGTAAAAAAAATTGATTGCTCATTTCCCAAATGATCAAAAATTTGATTGCTCATTTCCCAAATGATCAAAGAAATGCTTGCTTATTTTACAAATAGGTAACTAATTATTTGCTTATTTGACAAATGAGCAAACTAATGGTTGCTCATTTCACAAATGAGCAAAGAAATGCTTGTTGATTTAATGAATGATTAAAGAAATGTTTGCTCATTTGACAAATTTAATGAATGATTTAGTGAAGATATTTAATTCTCCTTACACTTTTGATTTGTTTGCAGGTCATAATCATTGAAAAATTTCGTTCGAAGTATATAGTCTCTCAATTATTTCAAGTGAAGTAAATACTATTGAATCTGTTAAACAAATTTGTCAAAAGAAAAAAAAAAGGTTAAAGAAAACTAGTGTTGCAACTTAAGAAAGCTAGTTGTCAATGATATGATCTTAGTAGCATCCCCAACGGCAAGCAATCCAAGAGCATTCACGATAGAGAAGACTAAAGTTGATATTCTTTTTATTGGTTACTATTCTTCATAAGTCCTTGTCTGCATAAGACAAGTTGACTTTAGGAAGAATCACATTTTGTCAAAAATTAATATTTATTCTTTGCTAATTTGTTAAAATTGAGCAAATAATTTGTCAAAATGAGCAATTAAATTTTTGCTTATTTGTCAAATGAGCAATTAATTTTTGCTCATTTGTCAAATGAGCAAAAAAATTCAATGAACCTTTGTCAAATGACCAAACTATTTAATGCTCATTTGTCAAATGAGCAAATGATTCTTGCTCATTTTGACAAATTAATGCTCATTTGTGAGTGTGTTTGAATGTTTTAAATACGTTAGCCTACTAGCTCAAGGGTAGAGTATTGTTCAAATGCACAAAAGATATGGGTTCGAATCCCACGTAGGTTCATTTATGTAATGTGGAAACACAAGTTTGTATGAGAGTTTAATTTTAACAAAGTTTAATAGTTATAAATCATTTCAAACCATTTTTTGCTCATATAATTTAGTAAGAATTTGATTTTTTTTTTTAATTAATTTTGTTTATAGAGATAACCTATGTAGGAATTGAACCTACATTCCCTATGCATTTGTATAGTGCTCTACCAATTGAGCTAATAGGTTTATCATATGTTTTAAATCATTTTCTATGTTATAAATTTTTAATCAGCTCATTTGATAAATCAACACAGAATTGTTTGCTGATAAAATGAACAAAGAATTATTCCTCATTTGATAAATGAGCAAAGATTTGTTTGCTCGTCTGATAAATGAGCAAAGAATTGTTTTCTCATTTGATAAATGAGCAAAGAATTGCTTGGGCTCATTTGGTATATGACCTAGGAATTGGTTCTTGAAAAGCTTACACATGAAACTAAATGAGTAAAGAAATATTTGCTCATTTGTCAAGTGAGCAAATAATTGATTACTCATTTCACAAATGAGCAAAGAAATATTTGTTGATTTAATGAATGATTAAAGAAATGTTTGCTCATTTGACAAATGAGCAACTAACTATTTGCTCATTTGACAAAAGAGCAACTAAGTTTTCGCTCATTTGTTAAATTAGCAACTAAGTATTTGCTCATTTGCTAAATGAGTAAAAAAATTGATTGCTCATTTCCCAAATGATAAAAAATTTGATTACTCATTTCCCAAATGATCAAAAATTTGATTGCTCATTTCCAAATAATCAAAGAAATGTTTGCTTATTTTACAAATGAGTAACTAATTGTTGCTTATTTTACAAATGAGTAACTAATATTTGCTTATTTGACAAATGAGCAAACTAATGGTTGCTCATTTCACAAATGAGCAAAGAAACGCTAGTGTGAAAATGCAGAGTTTGAAAATATTGAGTAGTTGATGAAATTTATTTCTTTTGGCTATTGGGAAAACAATACAAAAGAAACCCACTGCTTCCGATTAACAGCCTTTTCGTATGTTACACAGACATTTGACAGCTTCTAAAACATGATTAACAATTTGTACCGAATGCACAAAGAAAACGATCTATGCTAATGATAAGCATTTAGTTAGTAATGTTGAGCAGGAAATGTGTTGGTCATATAGAAACCCAAATACGGAAACTTTTCTTGGAACGGAGCAGCAAAAGCATACCAGTAGAAGTGGCAGAATTAGAACTTTCAGAAGAATTTCTGAAATGCAGTGTCAGTTGTATGCAGCTGTCTCTATAAACATCTTGAACTGCAATCTTCATTGCTAGTTCCAGTTCCTTTCCCACACGAGTGATGCGATCAATTATTACACCAATGCTAACTGCGACATTCTTGTGTACTAAGCAGTTGTATCTTCCTTGATTGACACTGCTTGTGTAGCTTGGCATCAGAAGCAGAAGTACTGCAAGTATGTATACAGCAGGAAGCATGATTAACTTATAACTTACAAAAGTTTGAAGTTAAGCTGGAAAGGGAGCACCTATTATTTGATCAAGAGGAAGTTGCCTTGGCTAATTCGTGCTAAAAATTTCAGACATTGCATAAATCATATTACAATTATAAGACATGTATAAGAATTGAACAACGATATAGTTGAGCAGAAAAGGATACTGTTATTAGTGGGAAATACTATATGCATTGAGCAGAAAAGGAACCACAAGCAAATAAAATGAATATAATCAGAGTATCAACATATGTTACAACTAACACATACCTTTATGGAGGAAGCATTTGGGGCATCATGAACCCTTGTGCTCCATAAAAATTTGGAGAAATTAAATAAAATCGCCGAAAAACATATTCGCAGATCCTAGACCATACCTCATGTTGTAAGGCATGTTCCCACCATAAGGGCCCATAAATCCATTAACAGTAGGTTGCATGCCTCTCTGGTAAGGATTAAATGCAATATTGCACATGTTTTCGTCCATACCAGGCATACTCATCCATTGCATTCCTACAACTATAAATTTTTGTAATCAAAATCACACAATCTTGATTTAACATTCGAATTACACTACTAGAAATAGGTCGAATTCCGACGGACGGTTTCCGACGGACACCTATTTCCGTCGGAAAAAACAGAAATTCCGACTGATTTTTTTTCCGTAGGAAACTTCCGACGAAAAATAATTCCGAAGGAAAATATAAGCTTTATTCCGTCGGAACATTAAACTTCCAACGGAAATAAAATCCGTCGGAATATTCCGTCGGAACATTAAACTTCCTACGGAAATAAAATCCGTAGGAAGTTTCCTATGGAATATTCCGTCGGAATATTTAGTTTCCGACGGAATTTATACTTATTCCGGCGAATTTTGGCCTTTAATTAAAAATAAATAAATAAATAAATAAATAAACACATATAACCCGGAACCCTAATCCCCCTCCCCTTTCATTTCTCTTTCCGCCTCTTTTCCCTTTCTCTCTCCTCCCTCCTCTTCTCTTCCTCTTCCTCTCTAATCTCCTCTCCTCCTTCATTCTCTTTCTCTCTCCTGTCATATTCTCTTCTACAACAACAACAATCAACGGTCGCACGTCACCATAAACAACAAGCAACATCAACTGCAACAACCACCGTCGCTAGCCACGTATTTCAAGGTTTTTGTTTTTGTAGATCTTTTAATTTAGGTTTGAGTGTAGAAGTAGTTAATTTTGAATGGAATTGTAATTGTGTAATTAAATAATTCTTTTGATTTTCGTTGCTTAATTTTCGGTTTTTTGAATTTTCGGTATTTTTTAATTAAATTGTGTTAATATAATTTTGTTTATTTGGTTTTTTCGGTTGTTCAATTTTTAAATTAATTCGCTTGTTTTTTTGTGTTTATTTGGGTGAATTTGTTTTTTTTGGGTTAATTCGATTTTATTTGCGTTTTTTGTGGGTGGTGGTGTTGTGTGGTGGTGTCGGTGGTGGTGGGGTGGGGGTGGTGGGTTACGGGGTGGCGGTGGGGTTAGGGGTAGGTGGGTGTGGGTTGTGGGCAGTGGATAAGGGTAGGTGGGGCTGTTTTGTAGGGTGTGGGTGGTGTGGGGTGGGTGGGTGAGGTCTGTGTGGGTGGTGGTTTGTGTGTATGGGAGGTCCGTGTGGGGGGTGGATGGTGGTCCGGGTCTGTGGGGTGGGTGGTGTGGGGTGGGAAATGGGTTGGACGTGGTGGCGGTGGGTGGTGTGGGCTGGTGGCGGGGTGGGGCTGCTTTTATTTTTTTATTATTATTGACTTTTCCGACGGAAATTTCCATCGGAATATACCTCTTCCGACGGAATTTTCCTCGGAAGCAAAGTTTCTTCCTACAGAAATTTCCGTCGGAAGCATAGCACCTTCCTACGGAAATTTTCGTCAAAAGATAAGTATCTTCCTACGGAATATGATCCGTCATAAGTTTGCGACGGACTTTCCATTTAAGTCAAATTTGACTCCGACAAGATAAAATCCGTCGGAAATTCCGTCGGTCTGGACTTTTCCGGCGGAAAATCCCTCGGAAAACAGTGAAATTCCTACAAACTGTAATGCGACGGTGCGTTCAGACGGAAACAGGCTTTTCCGACGGAATTTCAGGGTTTTTTGAGGGATTTTTTCCTTCGTTGATAAGCTGTTTTCTAGTAGTGTTAAATCATAGACAACAACGAAAATCAAAATCAAATTAACTTACAGAGCCCCTTAAGTATACAAGAACAACAAAGGATGATGAAAATGTTGTGATGTTTCGAATTTTCCCAATTGAAAATCGCATAACCAGATTTTGGCAAAAAACCTAATTTTCGAAATCAAAATCGCAAAAACATGTTTCAAAATCGATCAAATTCAAAATTAAACTGATATTTACATACCTTAACAGATTATCGCGAGAAATTGATGAGAAAAATCAAAGAAATTGAAGAGCGAAGACATGGAAGAATGTAGAAAATCAGGGAACCTGGAGGAAGAGAGAGAAAATCTAAAGAGGAGAGGGAAAATCTCAGCTGTTGGATTTGATCCAATCTAGCAGCTGAGATTTGTCCTCACATAAGGTGTGAGTTCTCACATAAAGGGTGGTTCTCACCGGATCTCGACCCTATATATATGTGTGTGTGTATAGATAATTATATATATATATAAGGGAGTTTTTTCCCAAGATTTTAGAAAGCCACATTGGATTTTAATTTTTAAAAATTATTAGAGCGCCATGTAGGATTAATATTTTTAGAGCATTACGTATAGGATTATACCACGTAGGATTATTATTTTAAATCGCCACGTAGGATTAAAATTAAAGGTTTAAATTTATTATAAAAATAAAATATTATCTTTTAAATTAAAAAATTTATCTAAGAGAAACGAAGAAATTTATTTATTTTATTTATATACAAAAATACTATAAACTTAAGAAATGAAATTCACGTTCAATTGATTTTTATTTTTTTAAAAAAAATGGATTAGTTAAAAAAATAATGAAATATGAAAATTAATTATAATAGAATATTTTTTAAGAAAATACTAATAAAAAAATATGAATTTACGTTCAATTATAAAAATATCTGTTTTGGATTAGATACAAAAAAAAATAAGAATAAATCATTAAAACTAAAAATTTATCATTTCTCTTTTTCCAGCAAAAAAAAAATGTTCATCATTTATCATTTATTCGGCTAAAAGATTAAGTTCTATGTTAATAAAATTTATCATATCTAATGAACTTGATCACCACTTTAAATCCAATATTTTTTCAATCCTATATAAACCCATCTAATGTTCCACACAAATAAACGTAAAATTTTTGCAGGCAAAGAAGCATATTTTAGAATTAAATTTATTATAAAAATAAAATATTATCTTTTAAAATTAAAATTTTATCTAAGAGAAAAGAAGCAATTTATTTTATTTCATTTATATACAAAAAATACTATTAAACTTAAAAAATGAACTTCACGTTCAATTGATTTTTTTTTTAAAAAAAATAGGATTAGATAAAAAAAATAATGAAATATGAAAAGTAATTATAATATAATATTTTTTAAAAAAATACTGAT